TACTTTTACCATATATACTTTTGTGCTTGTCCGCGTTTTTCCCAACAAACTGGTATCAGAGCCAAAGTTTTATCTGAGTATGCTCTGTGGTTGCAGCACAGTCTGAACTTCCACATCAGAAAAGATTTACTTTGATTTGCGATAACTATATTTTTTGGGAAAACATTGAAAGCCAACACAAGTAGAATAGTTACTTTGAATGGTGTTAATTATGTCATTTGGAAGGGAAAAATGGAAGATCTGCTTTATGTCAAGAATTTTTATAAACCAGTATTTACCACTGTAAAGCCTGATAATATAACAGATGAAGAGTGGAATCTGTTGCATAGACAGGTTTGTGGATTCATTAGGCAATGGGTCGACGATAATGTGTTGAATCATATTTCTGGGAAAACACATGCTCGAACCCTATGGGAGCATCTTGAAAGTTTGTATGCTCGAAAGACTAGCAACAACAAAATGTTCTTAATAAAGCAGATGTTAAGTTTGAAGTATCATGATGGTTCTCCAATGACAGACCATCTGAATAATTTTCAGGGGATTATGAACCAATTATATTCTATGGGCATCAAATTTGATGAAGAAATTCAAGGCTTGCTTCTACTTGGTTCCCTACCAGATTCTTGGGAAACATTTAGAACGTCATTGTCAAATTCTACTCTGGATGGTGTGATCTCTATGGATTCCGCCAAGAGTAGTGCCTTGAACGAAGAGATGCGAAGAAAAACTCAAGGTTCCTCTTCGTCGGATGTCCTAATAACTTTCCGCAGGGAGAGAAATAAAACTCGTGGTTCTCAGCATAGAGAACAAAATAGGAGCAAATCCAAAGGAAGACTTAAGGATATTGAGTGCTATCATTGTGGCATAAAAGGGCACACAAAGAAGTTCTGCAGGAAATTGAAGAGGGAGAACAATAACAAAGAGGAAACTAAACAAGATGGCAATGAAAATTTCCTATCCACCGTCGCCACCGAAGATCTTGTTACCGTTCTTGATGCAAACATGATAAATATTGCTTGTGATGAGTCAAGCTGGGTTGTGGACACTGGTGCCGCATATCATGTGACATCAAGAAAGGATTTTTTCTCTTCCTACACTCCTGGTGATTTTTGAACCTTGAGTATGGGTAATGAGACTGTTTCTAGGGTGGTTGGTATTGGTATAATTTGTTTGGAAACTAGTATTGGAACTAAACTAGTTTTGAACAATGTGAAACATGCTCCTGATGTTCGTCTGAACCTAATTTCTGTTGGTGTTTTAGATTATGAAGGATATGTTAGTACCAACGGTGATGGAAAATGGAAGCTCATTAAGGGTTCCTTGGTTGTGGCTCGTGATCACAAATATCGTGGTCTATACAGGACTACGGCCTCTGCTTGTGTTGATACGGTGAATGCGGTTGAGAGCGACAACTCTTCAACATTATGGCACAAGAGGCTTAGCCACATTAGCGAGAAAGGACTTAATGTTCAAGCCAAGAAGAAATTATTGTCAAATTTCCAAAGTGCTAAATTAGAAAAATATGAGCACTGCTTGGCTGGTAAACAAAATAGAGTTTCCTTTAAGTCCTACCCTCCTTCGAGAAAGACAGAGTTGCTTGAGTTAGTGCACTCTGATTTATGTGGTCCAATGAAGACAAAGACATTGGGTGGTGCACTTTACTTTGTCACTTTCATTGATTATTGCTCGAGAAAACTTTGGGTCTATGTCTTGAAGACAAAAGACCAAGTGTTAGGTGTCTTTAAGCAGTTTCAGGCTTCAGTTGAAAGAGAAACTGGAAAGAAATTAAAATGTATTCGTACTGATAATGGTGGTGAATATTGTGGACCATTTGACGAATACTGCAAGCATCAAGGTAATAGACACCAGAAGACTCCTCCCAAGACTCCTCAACTTAATGGTTTGGCTAAAAGGATGAACATGACCTTGATGGAAAGAGTTAGATGTTTGCTTTCTGAAGCAAAGTTGCCAAACTCATTTTGGGGTGAGGCTTTATTGACCGTTGCACATGTTATTAATCTATCTCCTGTTGTTGCTTTGAAAAGTGATGTACCAAATAGTATTTGGTATGGAAAGGATGTTTCCTATGACCATTTGAGAGTATTTGGTTGCAAAGCTTTTGTACATGTGCCGAAAGATGAGAGGTCAGAATTAGATGCCAAGACAAGGCAATGCATCTTCATTGGATATGGCCTAGATGAATTTGGTTACAGGCTATATGATCCAATTAAAAAGAAACTTGTGAGAAGCCGTGATATTATTTTCATGGAGAATCAAACAATTGAAGATATTTACAAAGTGGAGAAGGTAGAATCTTCAAGTTTTGATCGTATAGTTCATCATGATGAAGTTCCTCACACAAGTGTGCATGATGTTGTTGGGTTTGATAATCATGGTGACGCCCAGAATCATGTATCGAATCAACATGTTGATGTTGATAATAACAATGATATTGTTATTAATGATCCTATTGCTCATGAAGTTGTGGACGAATCAAATATTCCGCTTCGGAGGTCCACAAGACAGCGGTTTCCTTCCTCCCGTTATTCACCCAATGAGTATGTATTACTCACTGATAGGGGAGAACCTGAATGTTATGAGGTGGCCATGGAAGATGAGCACAAGAATCAATGGATTGAAGCCATGCAAGACGAGATGAAGTCTTTGCATGAGAACCACACTTATGAGTTGGTAAAATTGCCCATGGGCATGAGAGCTTTGAAGAACAAGTGGGTGTTCAAAGTTAAAGTTGAAGAACACAACTTGAAGCCCAGGTACAAAGCTAGATTGGTTGTTAAGGGATTCGGTCAAAGGAAAGGTATTGACTTTGACGAAATATTTTCTCCTGTTGTGAAAATATCCTCGATTCACACAGTTTTAGGTTTGGCTGCTAGTCTTAATTTAGAGATTGAGCAGATGGATGTGAAGACGGCTTTCCTTCACGGTGACCTAGAAGAAGAGATTTATATGGAACAACCTGAGGGCTTCAAAGTAGATGGTAAAGAAAATTTTGTATGCAAACTTAAAAAGAGTCTCTATGGCCTCAAACAAGCTCCCAGACAGTGGTACAAAAAGTTTGAATATGTTATGGGGGAGCAAGGCTATAAGAAGACTTCTTCAGATCATTGCGTATTTGTACAAAAATTTTCTAACAATGATTTTATCATCCTTTTTTTGTATGTGGATGATATGTTGATTGTGGGCAAGAATACTTCCAAGATTGACGAGCTAAAGAAAGACTTATGTAAGTCTTTTTCAATGAAAGACTTAGGTCATGCCAAGCAAATTTTGGGCATGAGAATTACTCGTCTTAGAGATAAAAGGAAGATTTATTTGTCAGAGAAGAAGTACATTGAACGCGTATTGGAGCGCTTCAATATGAAGAATGCGAAGCCTGTGAGTATACCTCTTGCTAGTCATATGAAGTTGAGCAAGAAGATGTGTCCTATAGCTAGGGAAGAAAAAGAGAACATGGCCAAAGTTCCATATTCCTCCGTTGTCGGAAGTCTAATGTATGCAATGGTGTGCACTAGACCTGATATTGCTCACGCAGTTGGTGTTGTCAGTAGATTTCTCGAAAATCCGAGAAAAGAGCATTGGGAAGCTGTGAAATGGATACTCGGGTATCTTAGAGGAAGCTCAGATGAATGCTTGTGTTTTGGAGCATCAAATCCAATCTTGAAAGGCAATACAGATTTTGATATGGCAGGTGACCTTGATAACAGAAAATCCACTACTGGATATTTGTTTACTTTTTCAGGGGGAGCTATATCATGGCAGTCAAAGTTGCAGAAGTGTGTTACATTATCTACACTGAAGCTGAGTATATTGCGGCTCCTGAAGCCGGCAAGGAGATGATATGGCTAAAGAGATTTATTCAAGAGCTTGGTTTGAATCAGATGGAGTATATTTTCTATTGTGACAACCAGAGTGCAATAGACTTGAGCAAGAACTCCATGTACCATGCAAGAACAAAACACATTGACGTCAGATATCATTGGATTCGTGAGAAAGTGGAGAATGAATCATTTCACGGCAAAAAGATTCACACAAGTGAAAATCTTGCAGATATGTTGACCAAGATTATACCGAAAGACAAGTTCGAGTTATGCAAAGAACTTGTGTGTATGAGCTCTCTCTAAAGAAGTTGAAGATACCTTCTTCCAGTAAATGGGACTAGAGGGGGAGATTTGTTGAATCCATCTCATTGTTTTAGTCAACTTTAGCTATTCAATTGGTACAAGCAATTGTTAAAAAGGAATAGTAATTGGAGTTGAAAAGAAAAGATTTGGTAGTTGACAAATTGATAAGATTTGCAACCATTTTTGACTTTGTTATGTTTACATATGTCATTAGTGACATAGGCATGGTTTTATCCTTCAATAAATAGAGCATTCTTGCTCATTTGTAGAACACACCAAGTTAGAGAGAAAAACCATTTTGAGAGCAAAGTGAGGTATTCCATAGACTATATAAGAAAATAGTCTGTGAAGAAAAGTAGAGTGTGAGCGATATTTAAGTAAGACGGAAATCAAAAGAGTGTTGTTCCTTTTGAGTGTGTAGTAGTCACTTTGAGTGTTGTATTCGTGACTACACAGTGTAAAATTCCTTACTATAGTAATATCAGTTGCTCCTCCTGGCCTGTGGCTTTTTCCCTTATTCAGAAGGGTTTCCACGTAAAATTCTTGGTGTCGTTATTTTCTCATTTTATTTCCATTACATTTACCATATATACTTTTGTGCTTGTCCGCGTTTTTCCCAACAATTATATGTTTTGATTTTAGCATTTAGGTTGTGATAATCTATAACCATTCTACTTTTACCTCGTTTTTGTTCACTATGTTTATTAACTATAAATGCTGGACTTGTATGTTTACTATTGCTTTCTTGTATATAATTATTCTTCAATAGTTCATCTATATGAATTTTGAATTCTTCTAAATCACCAAAATTATATTTTAATTGTTTTTGTGTTATTATACTATTTTCATCTGTTGATTAAATTTTTACTTTCATCTTATGCTTTTCCCATCCTTGTAATGGATTTTCACTATATAATAATTCTAGTTGTTCATTAATTATTATTCATTCTACAAGAAAGTAGCTTGTTAAGCAATAGTTGAATGTTGCTACAGAACATGGTAAGGAATCAAATATGTAGAATGAATTTCCAGAGCTTTTGTTCTTGATCTACATGTTCGAATTACAAAGTTGAATGTGCAGTTCCCTGAATTCTGGAGATAATTCTGGAGAAAGAACATCAAATCCAGTGACATCTCCTCTGATCTCATCAAATCCATTATTGCCTGAAGTCCCGACACCAGTTATGCCGGATTAAGTTGTTGTCAACATATCGGTACAATCTTCATCTGTAGGGATAGAAACACTTAGAAATGACATTGTATCTACAACTTCATCAAATACAACTAATGATATCCGCACCCGAATTGGAATGGTCTAGTGATTGTACGTGAACAACATCGTTTCATTTACATTGTTTTGCTTCAGGCAAGAAAATAAGCCATATTGGTTTGCTTTCCATACTATTTTTCTACAAGTCTTTTAAAGTTTTGTTGGTTTTCTTAAATTGCATTGATGGGAATGAATTACAGAATTGAGGTGTTTTAAAAATTCATTCTACTAGAAAGTAGCTTGTTAACTGATGTATACATTTCTCTTATATAAGAAGCAATAGTTGAATGTTGCTACAAAACATGGTAAGGAATCAAATATGTAGAATGAATTTCCAGAACTTTGTTCTTGATCTACATGTTCGAATTATAAAGTTGAATGTGAAGTTCCCAGAATTTTCGCTCTTGATCTAGATATTCAGATTGTGTGGAAAAATTATTGTTTACTTTGCTTTCACAAGTACGTTTCTTCTTTTCCCACTGGATCATATCTTACTTAGGGACTAAGAATTGGTAGGAATATGTAAAATTCTCTATAATTTTCTTAACCTCACTGAATTCTATGTCTGCATTTGAGGTACTCATCTGATGATTTCAAGCGGCTATGTTCTTGTTATTTGCAGAATACGTTTATTGAAAACTGAGAACATGAACTGCAGAGTACATGTTAATTTTTTTAGTGACATTTCAGTTTTCCTTTTGCATGTATTACTCGATGTTACTTCTTGTATAAGAAAATAACACTTCTGAGTTTGAAAATGACATACTTGAGCCTATTTTTCTAATTTATAATTGTCTTCTACTTTACTCCGACCCTGTACCTGATTTTCATGTCGACATCAACTACATGGTGCATTTTATTGAATCTGATTTGATATTAGCGTCTATGGCGTGACATTTCTTCGATGGCAACAGTCCTTATTTCCTCAAGTTTTTCTCATCTTTTGCAGTATATCATTAGAATTCATACTAGAATTTTTTTTACTTGCTCCAGATTAAGGTTAGATATGAATCTACGTACTGAACACAGAATTAGTATGGGGCCTCACAGCTAGTCATTTCAAGATAGATAATAGTAAGATTTTATAATTTATGTCTAATCATGGTCTCTGTGATAATACTTTCATAAATTTCATATTATTCTTCCTTACTTCCTGCACATCTTCAAACTCTTATATGTCGCTAAAGACACTGATAATACACTCTAGCAACTGCTTGATGTACATAAATAAAAGTGAGTATTGAAATAATTACATGTTATATTCATACAAGTTTGAAGCCAAGTAACGATGTATCTCGGGCAATCACAAAAATCTTTAAGGGAAAATTGGATCCCCAAGGATATGATTGGAAGTCAGTTACACCATAGATTAAGGACTTCTACTGGGAGGAGTTTAAGGTAAACTATACTAACTGTTTTTCTTAGTAACTATTGATTTATTACGAAAGTATAACTGTACAGATCAAGCAAGAACAAAAGAAAAACATAGCTTATGAAACAGAAACACTACAACTAGCTAAAAGATAAACTTAGGTTGTCTCATCTTCTACATCTAGAAAAAAAAGAATATTTAGGGATTCAAGTTTATAGTTTCAAATAATGAAATAAAATTTCCTGTTGTTATTACTCTTATTGAACACCTCTATGATAGATTGTCTAACTATAACTTGAAGTTGTCTTGGTGTGCCTTTGGAAATATGTTGATTACTTTCCATCCAAATATGGTATACACTACCATCAAAGACTCAACTCTTTATATATCTGCTTCGTGACTCTTCTACTTCATCCTTCCGTCGCATAGGAGCTCTAGTTATGCCCTGCCACTATAACAACTTAGTCCATACTTTGTGGGAGGAAGTACATTGATAAAGCAAGTGCTCTATAGTATCGTTTGTATCTCCGCACATTGGGCAACTCATATAATCAATGATGCCCCATCCACGAAACCCTTCTCTGCTGTATAATTGTCCCAGTATAAAAAAGTACATAATGAATGTCCATTTAGGGGGACTACTGATACTGCAGTTGACCTACTCCATGAGACTTTCTGATAATTTCCTCTAATCGTCACTTATAATTTTCGAACAGAGCATTCGGCCTTACTTCAAAGTTAAGCTCCATTAATTCGAGCTCCTTCAATGTACTTTCTCTCTTACCAGACTTGTTTCAACACCCATTATATTTGTTTTGGTACATCTTTTGATACGTAATTGTCTCTCCTTCAACTATAATATTCATGTACAAATTATATCCATAAATTCTATGTTACTATCGTTTTTTTTTTAATGTATTTTATTCATTTGAAATTTCTATTATATAAATTCATGTGATACTTTTCTTTCCCTTTTTAAACAGAAGCGACTCCATTGGAATATGACAACTGAAGGTTCCATAAAGGATCATTTTATGAAAAAATGTTCAATATAATACAAGGGTATGTTATGTGAAGCAAGAATCTCTGAGGAGGAACAAAAAAATATCCCAAAATCTGTTTGGGAGAACTGAAAGCCTCACTATGATACTGAGAAGTATAAGGCTAAATCTGCACAATACTCCAAAAATCGATGAAGTGAGAAATGTGGTGAAGGATTGGTCCCTCGCGCCATACTGGAGGCTCCCGGACTCATCGAGAGCATGCAAGAGAACTGGTACAATTATTTTCATTTTGTCAAGTTACAGTTTTTTCAACGTTATTCCTCTAGTAATAACTTTGATGGATGTGATTGTAGTTTTAGGCAACTGCTCTTGGACGGCCATTTCATCCACACGAACATTTGAAGAAAACACATACCAAAAGAAACGATGAGTTTGTGGATCTGAACTGTAAGAGCACATATGTAAGTAACACCAAACATTGCTGATTACCTTTCTTAGTTTTTGTTGAGAATTTACTTAGTCGTCATTCATCATGTTTATCCCAAATATTAAACACATGGTCATAATATTTAAAGATTATAATGAGGGAGGTTAATGTCATATTAGTCCAGTTGATGTCTCTATATAATTTTCCAGTGTGGATGAAATCTTTAACAGCTAACAAAACATCATTGTGCATTACTGGCCCAGCAGTGCAACCGAGACTATCTATAATCTCTTGGTCGGTGACTTCAGTACATAGAGTTTGCTGCTCTAGAGTAAGTGTAGGTCCCCTTCTCATAGTCGATATGCCTACTGCTGGTAGCGTAGGAGCTGCAGAACCCATAAAAATCTTCTAAATGTAACATTTTCGGTTTATATGACCTCAAGAGTTTTAAGATTGGTTCTTTATAGAGTAAGTTGCTGTTCTAGAATAAGTGTAGATCTCCTTTTCATATTTGATGTCTACTGCTGGTAGCTTCATAGCTGCAGAACCCATAAGATTCTTCTAAAATGTAACATTTTCAGTTTCTATAACCTCAAGAGTTGTAAGCTTGGTTCTTGACAGAGTAGTATGTTCTTCTAGAGTTAGTGTAGGTCCCCTTGTCATAATCGATATGTCTACTCCTGGTAGCGTAGGAGCTGCAGAACCGATAAGACTCTTCTAAAATGTTATATTTTCAGTTTGTATGACTTCACTAGTTATAAGCTTGATTCTTGTTAGAGTAGTTTGCTGTTCTAGACTAAGTGTTGGTCCCCTTCTCATAATCGATATGTCTACTGTTGGTAGTATAGGAACTGCAGAACTCATAAGACTCTTCAAAAATGTAACATTTTAAGTTTGTATGACCTCAATAGTTGTAAGATTGCTTCTTGATGAAGACATAATTTAACTTATTTGTTTCCTCTAAGCTTTTACCTTCATCACTGCAGATAAAAGCTTTGTGTTGGAATCCCAAGCTTAATACACCTTGGCTTAGACTTTTGATTCAAATTGCTCTCCTCTATTAAAAACCACTTCTCCAAATTCAACAAGAGCTAGCCTTTTATGAAGTTAACAGCCCATTACTACACTGCATATCAGTTTGTTGCTTGATTTTACTGAAATTCTCTATTATACAGCCTTCTGAGTAGTGGCTTTAGTGCCGTCAGCTTAAGATATACATTTTTCATCTTCCCATGTTCTTTTTGTCGTCTTTATTCTTCACTAACTATAGGTAAGAATAAATGCAGGAGTTTTTTTTCATCTGAGGTGCTGCATACAACTTAATAATCATGGAAGAGTGATCAGAAATCATTGGCAAGTCGTACTCAACTTGCACATGTCCCCCTGGATGATAAAATAACCAAGCGCTGTCCATCATACTTCATATTCCATCCACCCCTATTAGTTTGTTGTGTATGTGAAAATTTCTCGAGGGATTTCCCATTAGTCTGTCGTTTATAAGGTATTTCACTCTTATTGTTTTGAGACCTTTGAGGGACACATTACCCACAAACAATAGTATTGTCAAGATGGGAATTAGCCAATCTTCAAGATTTTGTTGTTGCTCCTCACCTGCAATGCGATGAAACATTTGTTCTGTAATTGTACGCTTGCCCAGAATTTATGGGAAGTCATACGTGGACTGCTTAGTATTCATTGGTAAGTTTATCCTACATAAGTTTTTTAGTTTAATGATGAAAAAGCAGGAGCCATAATTCTTTGTTTGCCTTGAAATGATTAGTGTGGTGGAGGTATTTTCAATGACAAAGATGGTCGACTGATATCATTTGTCTTGTATATTTATAATCGCTAGACATATTCTCTTAACATAATATCATTTATTTATTTTCAGGATGTTGTATTGTCTAAGATCACATCTGCATCTCAGCTTGTAGATGAATTTGGAGAGTCTCCGACAGTAGATTATTCAAAGATTTACATGGATGAAGTGCGTGGGGATAAGAAGGCATGTATATAAGGTCTTGGTTCCAATGTTGTTTTCTATGAAAACATTGCTTCATCATCTGCTTCAACTTCTCAACCTTAAAATTGTAGTTTTGATGATCAAATGAAGGAATACGTTTATGAAATGAAGGAGGAGATGAAATATGAGATGAGAGAAGAGTTGCATGATGAAATGAAAAACAAAATGCAGATAGAAATTCAAGAGCAGGTTGATAAGATTCTCCAAGAACGTTTGCCCATCCTCAAAGCTGGGTTGCCTAAACCACCCCCTGGTACATAGCCCGTTGGTACACACCTCCAACTATTACACACCATTAGCTTAGACATGACCCATCATCAAATAATGATGAGTCATTTAAGATTTCCAAACTATTGTAGGCATATCTTTCATTGTTTGTTTCTATATTTTGATTTGTTTTGAACTCTTCGTCTTAGCTTTTGTATTTGTTTAGTGAATTTATAATTTATCAAAGGATCACTGGATTTTATTATGTTTTCGGACTTGTTAAAAATCATAAAAGCTATTGATTAATATAAATAAATAAAGTGAAACTTTATTATCGAATTACCGTTTAGTTAGTAATATGGTAATATTCATTACCCATCACTAACCGAATATTGACCATCAATAATACATATTACCAACAAAATCACCATAAGTTAGTAAGCTTCCTAACGAATTACTAATGAGATTTTTGTGTTTCTAAAATACTAAACAATTAGTAGCATAAGTTACACGAGTAGATAGTCATTCTTAGTTGCAGATTTAAAATATGTTGATAATTTACCAATGAAATACCAACACATTTTTTTCTTATCCGAAATTACAAACTGATTACCTATGTATTTTGGTGAATTTACTACCGACCTTACCAACCAAGTTGTTATCTATTAAATAATTTCTAACCAAATACTCACAACATTTTATTTTATTTTGGTATATTTTTCAATACATCACTAACATAAATGAATAGTTAAGAACAAAATGTACGAACTCTTTCTCTTTGTTAGTAAACTTCCCAACAATATGTCAACCGAAAATTGGTTGGTGAATTTATCAACAAAAATTTCAACGCCACATTTCAACAATTACCAACAAGTCTTTTATGTGTTTACAAACTAATCTTTAGTTGGTACTTTTACCAACTAATTGAATTAAATGACAAGCTTTTTAGCAACAGATTAACATTAGTTGGCATTCGGTTGGAAATATAATTTGCCAACAAATTTAATCAATTTAGCAATGGATAATTTCATCAAGGAAAATCTTTGAAGAAGAAACCTAGACTTAACTTTTTTTGAATTTCTTGAGTGTGCAAGCTTTGGACTGATTGAGAGGGTTTGATTTGTAAAAAATGATTTTCTATATGTTTAGGGCAACTTAGATGACCTCCAGAGTCTTTTTAGGACCAAAATACCCCTTAAGATATAAATAGACTTGGGAGTCGAAATTATTTTTCACCGGGCACTGAGGTCCGTATTGGCTCTGCGTCACGGCACCATCGCGGAGCTGTTGCAAGGTTAACTTTTTAGTCAGAGTTCAGAATTGAGGAAACTTAGAAGCGTTAGAAAGAGAACTCGAAAGGCTTTTATTTAATATTTATGGGTCTCCTAACTCATTCATTACTAAAGGTTATGACTATGATTGGCGGAGCTATCAGAATCGAGTGACACGGACCGGTAAGTTCCGGAACTGGGACGGAACCGGTACTTTGAGAACCGGTACCATTTTGGAACCGGGACCGGACCGATAAATTATTTCATGTTCTGTCCCAGTCCAGAAGGGAACCGGTAGTATACCGGACCGGACCGGTAACCGGGATGGACCATTATTAAAAAAAATCAAATGATTTAAAACTTAAAGATTTATTTTTTAATTCAATATAAATTTTTAATTAAAAAATTAATAATTTAAATTTCAAACTTTAAAAGTTAAAAAAATTTAAATTTTCAAACTTTAAAATTATAAAATTTAAATTTCAAACTCTTAAAGTTTGAAATTTTTAAATTCAAACTTTAAAGTTTAAATTTAAAATTTTCAAACTTTTAAAGTTTGAAATTTAAATTTTATAAACTTTAACGTTTGGAAATTTTAAATTCAAACTTCAAAGTTATAAATTTTAAATTTCAAACTTTTAAAGTTTGAAATTTTTAAATTCAAACTTTTAAAGTTTGGAAATTTTAAATTCAAATTTGAAAGTTATAAAATTTAAATTTCAAACTCTTAAAGTTTGATATTTTTATATTCAAATTTTAAAGTTATAAAATTAAAAATTGACAATATTAAGAATTAAATTTAATACAACAATATTAAAAAACAAATAGGCGAATAGCCTATATTTTTTTTTAATATTTATTTGATATTACAATTACATTTGAAAAAAATATTAGTAGAGTATTAAAAGATTTTATCTACACAGTGCACTTTTTTTATCCTTTCCTTTTTGAACAATATTTTTACCGAAATCCATATTAAAATATTAAACGTGGGATTATATATAATACGAAAAATGTAATGCAAATAATAAATCACAAAATAAATAAATAAATAAATAATTATTTAAATTTAAATGAAATGTAAAATAAAAGTTGGAACGAATGTACCGAACGTCTACTTAAAAATGTAGACGTTTATGATCGTCGAAAGCCGAACGTGGAAAGTTGAAAGTTGAAATTTGAAGCTCCAAATCCAATTTTCAAAGACCAAATAAGGCAACACCAAAATTTAAGATTATTATATATTAGAGAATTAGAGATTAGAGATTAGAGATTAGAGATTAGAGAGTAGAGAGTTGAGAGAGTAGAAGATGAATAGATGATTTTGTGATTTAAAAGAATGAAATTTAGGGGTATTTATAAGTAAAAAAATGGGTCAAAGTATAATTTTCAAAACTTTTGGGTATTAAAAAAGTTTGGGGTGGGGTAGGAGTGTAATTGGCTGAAATTTGGATCAAATAGCCGTTGGGGGCCCCCACTAGCCGTTACCCAACGACTATAAACTGATAGATTTAAAAAAAAATAAAAAAATTGATTGGACCGACCCGGTAATTTTCAGAACCGGGAGGGACCGGTAAATCTCGGTTTCCATCCCGTTACCTGTCCAGGAATTAGACCAAACCGGTCTTTACCGGGACTAACCGGTACCAAACCGGTTTCGGACCCGACCGTTAACCGGAATTTACCGGTTCCGCTGCCAGACTTAGTTATGACTAATTGAAGTTGACACAAAACTTAAAGAAAACACAGGAGTAACTTGAATACTTTTTTCTTTGATTTCTGTTGGAACTTAAGGTGCTACATCTTATGACCTTAGCACTCAAGAAATTTTAAATTTCTTCTTAAAAATCTCACTCACTACGAAAAACAGTTCAATTCTTGGTTAAAAAAATTCTGAGATGTTACACTAGTATTACATTATTTGAAGAGTTCTTTTTTTTAAAAAAAATTATTAAAGTGAGCTTGAAGATCCATTTATCGAAAAATAATACTCGTAGTTTCTACAAAAAATAAAAAGAGCCCATATGGCTCATTTCCTAAAAGAAACTAAGACATAAAAAAATGAAAAGAAAAACAAAAGAAATAGAGTGAAAAGCAACTGAAAAGCAGAATAGATAGCATTCTCAAAGCTGTAGCTGAAACGCTGTTCCGCCAAGGTTCTTGTCGTCTTCTCCAGTGAACACCAAGGTTAGTTTTCATTGTCTTCATCTTTGGGTGTTGTAACTTTAGACCTGCAATTTTTTTTTCTCATATGCAACTGAGCTATTGGAAACATCTTTGCGATTCATCTTTCAATCCAAATTTGACCAATTTTTAAACGAATATTCATTTAAATTATATAATTAGTATTTAAAATACGCAATGCTCGACCATTATTATTTTAATTAATTAATCAGTATAATTTATAAACCCCTCATTATTTATAAAAATTGTCCCAATTAATACTCTCAAACCATAATATCATAACTCTTTTACCCTTTGTTCCCAACAACTATATTTAATCATTGCTTAATTACTCAACTATGTGTCTCTTCTCTGTATATTTTTAGCTATATTTGACTAATATTTCAGTTCATTTCCCTCGTCAAAGTAAGGCTGATTAAATTGTTAGAACAAAAAATTAAACTTATTGTGCTTTACTTTTTATGGTTCATCCAACAATTTAGAGAAAATATAATCTAGATTCCCATGTTAGAAGATAAACTAGCTAGGTTCCTATTGAATATATAATACTACAATTTTATATGAAAAAAGGAGATTTTAAAATTAATTTATCATGAATTGATGACCGAATTACAAATTTCATCTCTTATGATTATAGAAAAACTTTTTTTACATTACTTTATATATACTCAGTACAAGTATTTGACCATGAAACATTTAAGTCAATTAAATTTGTATTTCAAATTTAGGAAATTTTTGATAAAATATTGTTAAATGCCTTGAATCGGACCCGCTACAAACAGAAAGGACGGGCGTAGCTTAGCACTATATATAGACGCTATGGGAAACCCTATTCTGTAATTCTGTTTTTGCCTCTCCATAATAAAACTGCTCCCTCTCTTCCCGTGGACGTAGCCAATTTATTGGTGAACCACGTAAATCTGTTGTCTTGTTTTTCGCGTTTATATTTTCTCGTATTATCTCAAATTCCGCACAACAAACATTCTAAGAAAAACTTTCATTTCCCAAACTTAAGATGTATAATTATATTTCAAATTATATTGAAATTCTATTTCAAATTCTATTGATATTTTATTTCAAATTTAGGAAATAGGTAATAAAGCTTGCTAAAAACACTTGAGAAGAAAAAAAATTAAACTATTATACACATCAGGAAATGAATAACAATAGAAATAATAAATAATATCATAAATCAAACAATAGGTAATACTAAGATCCACCTATGTTCAGTTTTTGTTCTAAGCCAACTAAATATCAGATATCATTAAACTTGTAGAAAGTAAATAAAAGGTTTTATACTAAATAAATATAAAATATTTATAAATAAACGAGATTAATTAAAGCAAACATCTGGTGTTGGTTTTATGACCCACTCACATTAATATTATTTTGGTTAAATATTTAATTACTAACTAAATTCTAATTCTAATTGGATAGGTGGAGAAGTGGAGAAATGGGGAAGTGGCGAAGTGGAGAAGTTACTTCAACTACCCATTACCTCTTCCAACAATCCATTATTTCCACTACTCACCATGATGGAAAAGTGAGAATGATGTTAAAATACACTCTATTAAAAAGGGTCCTCTCTCTGCCATAAATATATAGTCTTATCCATCAAAGCTATACATAAAGTGTAAGGCAAGAGAGACAAACAACTTCTAAAGAACCAAAAGAAAAGACTTTCGTTCAATCATGTCAAAGATTATAATAACAGATTCAGGTATGTATTCTTGACTGAAATATCATAGTTAAATTTATGTAAAAATCATATAGTTCTACGATCCTGAATAATAGATAGGATTTCTAAATGTTAGATTGTTTATTTTTCTCACAATCATTAAAAATCTTTGTAGGTGGTATCAAAGACTTGTTTAACAACTACTGCTTTTTCATAAAATTAATGTTTTCCTTATTTGAAAACGGTAATAGGTAGTAATACGTGAAATAATTATTCACTATCATGATGTATTTTATTTTGAATTTATGCATATGAGATTAGTTAATCACCAAAGTGGTCTAATCTTTGATGTTGCACTTTACACTGAGAAGTCAACTGCTATTATTGAAACTAGCAGTACTGAAGAAAGGTCTCATTATAAGCACAGGGATCGATCTGACAGATTAGGCATAATGTTTATACGAATGAATATTGCGAGCAACATTAAGACTACTCTTTCCAAAACTAAAAATGCAAAAGATTTTCTGAAATTCGTGGAAGAATCCTCTCAAACTACTGATAAGTCTCTTGCTGGGACACTAATGGGTACTTTTACCACCATGAAGTTTGATGGTTCATGTACTATGCATGAGCATGTCATCAAAATGACAAACATAGCAGCAAGACTTAAGTCTTTGGGAATGGAAGTGGAACAAGATTTCCTTGTACAATTCATTATAAACTTATTACCGTCTAAGTATGGACCTCTCCAAATGAACTTCAACACTATAAAAGAGAAATGAAACGTGCATGAATTGCACGGAATGTTGGTTCAGGAGAAAGTAAGGCTTAAGAATCAAGGAACCCACTCCATTAACCTTGTTAGTCACCAAAGAGTTGGAAAGAAAGGAAACAAACACGCTAAAGGAAAACAGAGGTGCCATAATGTTAACGAGTCCTCCTCTCAAGTACATAAGAATTATAAGTGTCGTTTCTGTGGAAAATTTGGAAACTTTCAGAAAGATTACCTGAAATTTAATGCATGACTTGAGCAGTAAGGTAAACCTAGTGATTTTACATGCCTCGAACCAAATTAACCGAAGTCCCTTATAATACTTGGTTGATTGAATCTGTTGTACTGTTCATGTTTCTAATACGATGTAGGGATTACTTACCACACAAACCATAAAACAGAATGAAAGATATGTGTATATGGGCAATAGAGTGAAGACTCTAGTTAAAGCTATAGGAACTTACCGTTTGATCCTTGATACTGGACGCCACTTAGATTTACTTGAAACTTGTTATGTACCTTCTCTTTCGAGAAATTTAGTTTCTTTGTCTAAGTTGTATTTTTTAGTTTGTTTAAACATATTTATCACATTGGTACTGGTACTCTTTGTGATAACTTATACAAACTGAATCTTGATAATCTATTTGCTAAAAAAGTCTTAACTCTGCATCATAATATTGAAACCAAATGAAGTTTGGTGAATAAATAATCTTCTTTTTGTGGCACAAACGTTTAGGTCACATATCCAAAGAAAGATTGAAAAGATTACTTAAGAATGAAATTCTTTGAAAATTTGATTTTACAGACCTTAACATTTGTGTGGATTGTACTAAAGGAAAACAAACAAGACACACAAAGAAAGGAGCCACAATAAGCACACAACTTCTTGAAATTATACACACCGGTATATGCGGTCCTTTTGATATTACATCTTTCAGGACGATTTTTCACGTTATGGGAGTGTTTATTTGTTGCATGAAAAGTCTCAAGCGATAAATGCCTTAGAGGTCTTTATTACTGAGGTTGAAAGACAACTAGATAGAAAGGTGAAAATAATCAGGTCAGATAGAGATGGTAATATTATAAAAGATATGATGAAAATGGACAACACCCAGGTCCATTTGCTAAATTCCTCAAAAATATGGCATATGTGTTCAATACACAATGCCTGGAACAACCACAACAAAATGCTGTAGTAAAAAGGCGTAATTGTACATTAATGGACATGGTTAGGAGTATTATAAGTAATTCATTTATTCCTCTTTCATTGTGGATGTATGCTTTAAGCATTGCCGTTTACTTACTTAATATGGTTCCTAGTAAAGCATTCCAAAGACTCTTTTTGAACTATGGACTGGTAGGAAACCTAGTTTAAGGCACCTGCATGTTTGGGGTTGCCCGACAGAAATTAGATTTATAACCTACAAGAAAAGAAATTGGATTCAATAACTATCAATGATTTCGTCATTGGTTATCTAGAAAAATCAAAAGGGTATAGATTTTATTGTCCTAATCACAGTACAAGAAGAGTTCAAATTGGAAATGCTAGGTTTATTGAGAATGGTGAAGTTAGTGGGAGTGAAGAACCACGTAAAGTGGAAATTAAAAAAGTTAGGGTGAGGGTTTCTTTACCTTTTACTTCTTTTAATGATGTTGTTCCTAAAGTTGTTGCACAACCTAACAATCAACAAGAACAACAAATTGATGCTCTTGTTAATCTCAATGAAACAATAATTAATGAATCTGCAGTAGATGTAGCACAAGAAGTAGCATTAAGAAAATATCAAAGACAAAAAAGGCCTGCTATTTCTGATGACTATTTGGTATATTTACATGTGTCAGAAATTGAATTGGGAATTGATAATGCTCCAGTTTCATTTTCACAAGCTATTGAAAGTAATAATTTTGATAGCTGTATAAATGCTAAGAAAGATGAGTTGAAATCTTTGGAACAAAATGAAGTATGAGACCTTGTTTAATTACAAGAAGGTTACAAAATAGTTGGGTGTAAATGGGTCTTTAAGACCAAATGTGACTCAACTGGCAGTATCGAACGTCACAATGCCAGACTTGCTGCAAAAGGTTTCACTCAAAAGGATGGCATCGACTATAAAAAAATATTTCACCTGTTTCTAGAAAAGATTCACTCAGAATTATAATGACTTTAGTAGATCATTATGATTTAGAGCTATATCAAATGGATGTGAAAACAACCTTTCTAAATGGAAATTTAGAGGAAGAAGTTTATATGAATCAACCTGAAGAGTTCTCTTGTAAAGGAAAGGAACACATGGTGTGAAACTTAAGAAGTCATTATACGGACTTAAACAATTTTCTTGACAATGGTATCTTAAGTTTAATGAAAGTATTGTCTCTTTTGAATTTATGAAAAACACTGTTGATCAGTGTATATATCTGAAGGTTAGTGGGAGTAAGTTTATTATGTTAGTCCTGTATGTTGATGATATCTTGCTTTCTACTAATGATCTTAATTTGTTGCATGATACAAATAGATATTTATATAACAATTTTGAAATGAAATATATGAGAGAGGCATCTTATCTGATTGAAACAGAAATATTTCGGAATAGATCACAAGAATTATTAGTTTGTCTTAGAAAGCCTATATTAATAAAGTTTTAGAGAGATTGTGAATGGAAAATGCTCATCAAGTCCCATTCCAATTCAGATTGGATTTAAATTTAGTCTTAATCAATGTCCAGAGAATGAATTGGAACGTAAGCAAATGAATGATATTCCTTATGCATCAATAGTTAAGAGTCTAATGTATGCCCAAACATATACTAGACCAGACATCAGTTTCGCTGTTGGAATGTTGGGCCGTTATCAAAGTAATCCAGGAATGGATCACATGAAAGCTGCGAAGAAAGTGTTGTGATACTTGTTAAGAACTAAAGATCGTATGCTCACTTATAAATGATCTGATCATCTTGATGTGATTGGATATTCAGATTGAGATTATGTTGATTTTGTGGATACACGAAAATCTATATTTGGGTATTTGTTCCTATTAGATGGAGGAGCAATATCGTGGAAGAGTGCAAAACAGTCTGTTATAGCTGCATCTACTATGGAAGCTGAGTTTGTGGCATGCTTTGAGGCCATAGTTCATGCTAATTGGATGCAAAACTTTAATTCAGGACTTGGACTAGTCGATAGTATTTTCAAGCCGCTGAAAATTTATTGTGATAATACTGGAGCAGTTTTCTGCTTTAAAAATGATAAGTATTCTAAGGGTGCCAAACATATGGAATTGAAATACTTTTCAGTTAAGGAAGAAGTCCAGAAATATAAAGTTACAATTCGACATATTAGCACCAAACTTATGATTGCTGATTCTTAGACGAAAAGATTACCATCCAAAATATTTATTGAATATGCTGAAAGAATGGGTCGTATTAATAGCAAGAATGACTTTATGTGAAGATTATATTATGTTTATGCAATTGACACTTTGAGCTCAACTATATACATGTTTCTGTTATTACTTGTTTTCTCTTGTGTATGTTATGTTGAGAATGATGATGACATGTTTTGGTTTAGATAAAGATATTTGCATTATGGTGGACCCATTATGTATTTGAAATGTGTATTAGGCAATAGACTAATATTGTAGTGCATGGAAGGGACTATGCTGAATAAAGTAGTGTACAACCACCATGACTCTTATTAGTTGATTTTACTTAATAACAATAAATAATATTAAATTTAATATATGTGCACATTTTAATTGAAATGTTTATCAAATCATCAAGTCAATGATGTTACGTGTGTCAAGTGGGAGAATGTTAGTTTTATAACCCACTCCCATTAATATTATTTATATTTAATATTTTATTATTAACTAAATTATAATTCTAATTGGTTAAGTGGAGAAGTTACTTCAACTACCCATTAGGTCTTCCACTTTACCCATTACCTCTTCCAACTATCCATTATCTCCACTACTAACCATGATGGAAAGATGAAAATGATGTTAAAAACACACTTTATTTAAAGGATCGTCTCTTTGCCGTAAATATATAGTCTTATCCTTCAAATCTATACATAAAGTATAAGACAAGAGAGATAAACAACTTCTAAAGAAACAAAAGAAAAGACATCCTCACAATCAAGTCAAGAATTATTATGAGAGATTAGGGTATGTATTCTTGACTGAAATATCATAATATTAAATATATGTGAAAATCATGTAGTTCTATGATCCTGAATATTGATAAGATTTCTAAATGTTAGATTGTTTATGTTTTTCACAACCATTAAAAAATCTTTATATCTGGATGCTAGCGATACTCTGAGTTAGTATCTCCAACAACCAAACAAATCGCATATGTAAGCAACACTAATGATTATTATATACATCACCTAAATTTTGAGTCATGGGTCGCTCATGTGGACCGACCCGACCAGACTCAATCTTCTTTAATGTATTATCCAATTAATTAATTAGGATAAATCCTTTAAAGGATAAGACCGAACAATTACTAATCCTCTTAAAAGATTCGTAGAAGGAGCAGTTTCCAAGTGACAAGAAACATGAAACATGATCAGTTAAAAGTTAAACGTGCAAAGAAAGCGGAAACTTGTAAAACAGAAAGTCAAAAACCAAGCGTTCAGTCTAGAAACAAAAAAACATTGAGTTTCTCAGGCACATTCATCAACACACAACAACAAACTTCTAGTTTGTGAATAAAACCTCTATTTCCTAGTGAATCAAAGATGGACTTGAGCATCAACTTGACAAAGAAACAATTTAACGACTTCCGTTGTGAATTACAAGGTACACATCTTGTTGTTGATTTCTCTTAAAATTTCAACAATGGTATCAGAGTCATTGTTATTAATCTCATTATTCGTTTATTTCTTGGATATTCACTTTGTATATTTATAAGAAAAGAAATTGATTATATTTCTTTTAAAAATCAGTGAATAGAAAGAAGAAAAAAAAATTAAAAAAAGGAAAAATTTACTTGACGTTTAAATGTTGATTAATCATATGGAAAATTGGATTTAAAATCCTATTTGATTGTGAATTATGAAAGATATGGAATTACTTTTCCTACTATAAAAATAACAGTGCAATTTTATTTTTTTTTAAAAAAACTACTTTTGTTTAGTAGCGACATAGAAATTGTTTGGAAGATATTTTTTGTCGAAACTTATTAGATCATAATCTGGTTGTGCATATCATTCCAAAAAAATATTATAATAGAAAAACGAAATTAAAACGAGTTAAATACGAATTGTTGAAAATTTGACTATTGTTGACAGTTTTCCCAAAAAAATGCATATGTCTGAAGCAATCTGTAAATTCGTTGTAGTTGATCTCTAGCAATTTCGATTCATGTTTCTAGACGTTTTCAAGTCTAAACTATTATTTAATGAGTTATTTAGCGATCCTCAGTGTTAGGGTTGGGATCCATTGGAGTTTGGGAGGTTTAGAGATGAAATACGAAGAAGAAAAGTCGAAGTTCCCGCCAGACACCCATTGGGGCGCCGCGCCTGCCAAATGGACTCAAGATAGGGTCTTTCTGACAGATCTCGCAGGGCGTGCCAGCCAGAGAGCCCCATACCAGGGTTTGTTCGACAGGCCTTAGCGCTCCACGCCTCTCAGAGCGCCAATAACCCTTGGAGACCCCTTTTTTTCTTATTTTTTCGTACTAGTTCCTAAGTGATGTACCCTTCATTTCATGCTGATTCCTACACTCTAGAGTACATCTAATCATCATGAAATCATCCATAAACATGAGATCATGATTCTTGAATCCATAATCCAAATTCAAGGGATGTAGGGTCAAAGTCAAGAAAGTAAGAACTAAAGTCTAAAGCTATGAAGTGAGTAAGAGCAAAGTTTTCAAAGTTCTTAGAGTCTTACTTAAAAAATTTTAATTCGTTTTAAGGCTCAAGTTCGAGTTAAAGAAATGAGTAAAGTTTGAATTCATTTCTCATAAAGGTATAAGGGTACTAAGTATTTCCTAAGAGTTAAAGTTTCAAGTTAAGTAGGAGAAGGAATGGAGTTCATTCTCTAAAGTTATAAAGGGGACTAAATATTCCCTAAAGGTGAAAATGTATTTGTATTTAAGTTAAAAGGAAACTAAGAAGTTTTAAAAGAGTTTTTAACTAAAGATATGAACATTGTTCCCAAAAGGATCTTTTTAAGCAAAAAAGTTTAGTAAATTATCTTAACCCGAAGGAAGGAAGTTTAATTAAAACTATGAGCTAAAGTGTGTTTTTGGAGTAGTATTGAGCATTCATGTGGGAATGAGAGTTCAGATAACTCAAGTCCCCATGTAGCCATTATACGTATTAAGATGTCATACTTTTTAGATGATTAGATAAGGTTAGGCGGTGGATCCACTAGGTAGAGGATGTTCTGTGCAATAGTAATATATAGGACAGTTCTGCAGCGTGGGCAAGACGTTGTATCATCACTTAGGCTCATAGTGGTGGTTGTCGGTTAGAGAAGATCCTACAGAAACTATATTAATTTTATATATATGTAAAGTTGAGTTTACTATAGCTATATCGTTAATGAAATAAGTGTTACATTGTTTCATCAGTTTTACATTAAAATATACATTGCATATGTCATTATTTCTTTATATTGAGTTGTTATCTTATAGGTTTAGCAGAGCCAAAGTAAGTTCATCCTTAATCCATTTATATCTTTATAGTTATGCTCAGCACTCCAACTCGCATAATTGTACATTCAATGTACTGATGCCAGTTGGCCTGCATAATTTTCTTATTAAGACACAGGTAACCAGGATCAGCACGCAGCACTTCGTTGATGAAGATTGAGCTCCAAAGTCAATGGTGGGCCTCCTTGCAATCAGGAGGATATCCATTTCATTTGCTTTAGTAGTCTAGTTTTAGGATGTTATGGGGTCTATCACAACATCCCTCTTCAATTAGTTTAGACGCTTCGCATACTCTTAGTAGTTCAGTTTGGTGTTATTTTACTTGTTGAGACTCAAGTGTCATTTTGGCCAGATTAATTTATGAGGTATTTGTTTTAAAATATGCTTTTTTAATTTTTAAGTTGAGTTTAGTCTTCTTCTTAGTTATGTAAGTAAGTCCAAGGGTTTGCTTGGGGGCCATATATCATCTTCGAGTACCATCCACGTACAGGGTATAGGATCAGAGCATGACACTATCAACGTTGTGCCTTTTTATGTTTATTTTAAATGTGACCATGCATGACTAATATTGGTCGACAATGCTCCAAACCTTTTATACCTACATCAACAGTTGTAAATGAATATAAATAATGATTTTCATTTATTTTATAATTAACAAATTTTCAAAACACTTATCTTCTCCAATATGCATTTACATACGTTGGAATTCTTCCATATTATTATGCAGAACTTGAAAGTTTTTTCTTTATTTTTTCATGCTTCCATGTATGTCAATGAAATACCATGTATTCTTAGCATGTCTCATCGTATGTAAGTTGGTATGCAATCAATATTTCAGATTGATATACTTTTTAGCCAACATTACACAGAGCACATTACTTCGTGATTGTTGCTTTGAGTGAATCGTTCCTTCAATTGAGAAGAATGTGTATCATATAATTTTTTCACTTTGAACAACTTCAAATTATTTAAACATGAGAATTTAAAAACCCATGAACATTTTTCTGTATCTCAATTTAGATAGTAACTGCAAAAGCACATGCATAATATACATGGTAAGTTGTTAAAATATATTGGAAATTTTTTAAATCAACATATATGAATCACCAGGTCGGACTTGATTTTTTGAAATGAAACAAAATTCTCTTAGAAATGCATATTGTTTCCATAACTTCTTATATACCTTGTTTTTCTTTTATATAAGCTTGATCCTCAGCCCTAAATTTTGTTGAGTATTTGAAATTATTTCAGTACCTTCATATTCTTCAATATTATCTTTAGAAATTGGATCCATGTTAGTCAATCATAGTGTGTTGGATCCCAAAATATATAGATGTGTTATTTGGACATTTATGGATTTCATAACTCTTTCTACACATGTCACACATAAAGGATATTTTGACAAGAAATCTGAATTGCATCTCTTTTGATCCTAATGAACTAACACTTCCATATCGTTATGTATCTTCATTGATGGAGATGGACCACTCACGAAATACTTGAGTTCCAAATGATAAATTATTGTGTCCACTCCCAATTGTTAATATATAGTTGTAATCCAGCCTTTGTATTTGGTGATTGGATCATACATCACTTTTTCAATATTCTAATCCACGTAATTGCTTGTCTAAAATAACAAATTCTCCATAAATTTTAAAAAGAACTTTTAGAATTACTTACAACAATCATCAACTTATTTAGCATTGTTTTTACATTGGTTTTCGTTTGTATATAAAACAGTCATTGAAATACCAATGTATCATACTAATATTTTAACAAATTAATGATTTTTTTTAAAAAAAAAACATTCAAACACAGTTTTGACATACAAATGTAATTTACAAATTTTTTACCAATTAATGAACTTTTTTAAAAAATTTATTGACATTTATTGAAATACCAAAGTATTTTACCATAATTTTAGTCAATTAATGAACTTAAATATAACAGTCGAAAAGTACAAACCAATGGGAACCAATTTTTAATTTATGATTTTTTATTTTACAACAATAAATGTAGGAACTCTTTTTACAGTATTATTTACACAAGTTCACATTCTTAAAATACACTAAAATCTTTACCATATATTTATTCAAGAGGTTCTAATTATATACAATATATTGTTAAACTTGTGTTTTTTATACCTTTAATTACACCAAATATTTTATAAGTCAAATCATATTGCCCCAATATACAAATGCTCATACATAAGATAAAATATATTTGACCAAATACTGCACCAAAACATACATCAGGCTATTTATTTAGTGTTAGTTATTAGCAACAATTATACCATATCACATAGCAAAACAATTACTCAAATACACATCATAAATCGTTGATATAAATTGATACCATACGACGCAAATCATGACAACTAAACCTAAACTTTAACCAAAAAAAAACAAATATGACGCAATTCATGACAACTAAACCTAAACTTTAACACAAAAACAAATTTGACACATCATTTAAGAACAATATCATGTGAAGTTGTTTAATTATACCAATATTTCATTGCTGCAGGGCCGCAGATTATATGATTTAATTTACAGCAAAATTGACTAACTAAACAAAACGAATAGCTACCAAAAAGAACAATTTTTTTTTTTGTGAAAATTCAAATCAAATAACGTAATAAAACAATAAGCTAACTATTTTTTTAATAAAATTACCTGACGAGTCTCATTGCTTGTTGTGTTGAATTAGAATTGAGAAATTATTGGTTTGAATTTTTTGGTAGTCGTGCTTCGCGGAGAAAATGGAGTTTTCTATTGGTAGAAAACCTCTATTTATGGGAAATTATTGAAATATAGATATGATGATGTGTAGTTTTATGGTTGGTTAGTTCAAATATTAGTTGGAGTCACATGTGTTAGTTAGAATCACATGGTTGTCACACATTTTCCATTTTTCTGTTATGCTTTTTATTTTTCTGTTAGTGTTAGTTATAGTTAGTTGAGTAGTTAGTTTTGATTCTCTCTATATATAGATAATACAACATAGATGTAAACAAGATGAATCAATAAGAAAAAGGAAGACAGATTACTTCCAAATTCTCCCTGCAAAACTATCTCTACGTTACTTTTTTCTTTCTTCTTCTTCTTCTTCTTCTGTTCCTATGTGTTTCTGTGTGGGTGTGAGTTCACAAATTTAATATGGTATCAAAGCATCGATCAAAGTATTTCTGAAGGTTTTGAATCTGTAATTTTGGTAATTGTTGAAGCTGCAACAATGGTGGAATCACAGAGTAAAGAGGTAGAAGACAATCCCCAGTCGAATCAAAACCATCCACTTCATCTTCAAGCATCAGAAATACCTGGTGTTGCCTTGATTCCAATGAAGCTCACAGGACCAGAGAACTATGGTGTGTGGAGCAGATCTATGCGATTAGCACTACTAGTAAAAAATAAACTTGGATTTGTTGATGGCACATGTGTTAAAAGCTCGTACAAGGGAGATCTGGCAGTTAGATGGGAAAGATGTGATGCAGTTGTGTTATCTTGGATAAGTGCAGCAGTTGCACCAGAGTTGATGACTAGCATAGTATATGCTTCTAGTTCAAAGAAGATATGGAACGACTTTATGGAAAGGTTTGATAAATCCAATTTGACAAGGATTTTTCACCTATGGAAAGATATTAGTATTTGGTCACAAGGCACTGATTCTGTAACAACCTATTATTCCAAAATGAGAGATCTATGGGATGAGATAGATGTAATGGTACCCTCTCCATCTTGTGATTGTGTTGAATCTAGTTCACATGCTGAACATGTTAAACAACAAAGGTTATTGCAGTTTTTGGTAGGTTTGAATGAGAGTTATGCTCAAGTGAGGAGTTCTATTTTGTTGATCCCATCTGTTCGAAGTGTAAATCAAGCCTATGCAATGGCTATACAAGAATAAAGTCAAAGGAAGCTAGGACAAACAGAAGGAGGTAAAGAACCTCTCACAATGATGGCAGGAAGAAGTGCTCAACCACATAATTTCAATAATCAAGTGAATAATAATCAGATGAACTTGCATACTAAGACGACTCAGAGTCAGAACTCACTTGGTAGAAGGATGGGATTAGTTTGTGATCACTGTGGTTACAAAGGTCATACCAGAGAAAGTTGTTACAGAATTGTAGGTTTTTCACCAGATTTTAAGAGCAAGAGGAAGGGTTCTGGATCTATGAATGAAGCATATGCAAATAATTTTACTTCTCAGTCATCTGTTTCTGGATCTGGTTCAGCATCAAGCTTCTATTTTCCAGGAGGCTATTTCAAGAAGGAACAATATGAGCAAGTCACTAAGATGTTATCTCCTACTCCACCTACAGGAAACTGCAGGGCTGAGGCTAATGCTGCATGTATGAATCCTTTAAATGTTAATGATAGTGGAAATGCAGTGAGATGGATTATTGACTCAGGAGAAACACATCACGTTACATGCTGTGAAAACATATTGAGTGAATGTAGAAAGTTATCAGAATCCAGTTGTAATAAAGTGCAAGTGCCAACAGGAAATAAAATTCATGTGAAACATATAGGAGATGCAGTGATTTTGGGGAACTGCAAGATAAGAAATGTGTTGCATGTACCAAATTATAGGTTCAACTTACTATCAATTTCTAAACTAACCAAGGATCTAAAATGTAGTGTGTCAATCTATCCTGATTTATGTGTGATGCAGACTCTCTTTACTAGAGAGGTGATTGGGATTGGTAAGGAGAGTGATGGCTTGTATATTCACAGACAAGAAGTAATACCTACTATTGGAGCAGCATTCAAAAGCAAGAACTCAGAAGAACATAAACTTTGGCACCTCAGACTAGGACATCCATCTTTGAAAGTATTGCAACATCTACATATATTGAAGAATAAATTGGTTGAGACTGTACATGAAGATTGTTTGATTTGTCCTTTGGCAAAACAATGTAGACTCAAATTCCCTTCTAGTGTTACTCATAGTAATAAGATGTTTCAGTTGGTACATCTAGATGTTTGGGGACCTCATAAAGATCCAACTTATGATAGAAAAAAATATTTTCTTACTATAGTTGATGACTTTAGCATATTTACATGGGTTTCTTTACTGCAAACAAAGAAAGATGTAGTAGTTGTTTTGAGAAGTTTTATAACAATGGTTTGTAATCAGTTTGATTGTGCAATAAAGGTGTTGAGATTTGACAATGGAACTGAGTTCTTTAATATTCAAGTAAATGAGTTGTTATCCTCTTTTGGTATTATACATCAAAGTAGTTGTGCATATACTCCACAACAAAATGGCATTGTTGAAAGGAAACATAGGCATATACTTGTTTTAATGGGTTTTTCTTCCACACAGAAAGGATATAAGCTATATGATCTTGAGGCAAAAATTATGTTCATTAGCAGGGATGTTGTATTCAGAGAGACAGTGTTTCCTTTTAAGCTCATGCAATGTGTTGATACAGGTCCTTGTCCTTTGCTAGTAACCTTCCTTGATAATGTAGATGATGCTAATAATGATGTAAATGATGTAAACTTGGACTCATGTCATGATCATATTGAAGAGAGTTCCAATAACACTGATGGTCTGCAGGAATGTTCTCATAGTCCTCATAATGAACCTGCAACTAAGGTAGGATCCAGAAGGACTACCAGAACAAGCAAGCCACCTGTGTGGATCAAAGATTATGTTGTGCCTCATAAGTCTAGTCCTCATTCTATCACTAATCATGTCCGTTATGACAATGTCTTCTCAGGATATCAATCTTATTTACAAGCTTTATCAGCAGCTGTAGAACCTTAATCTTTTCATGAAGCATCACAAGATGAGAAGTGGATTGATGCTATGAAACAAGAGATTAAGGCTTTAGAAGATAACAACACCTGGACAGTTGTAGACTTACCTCCAAGTGAGAAAGCAATTGGTTCAAAATGGGTTTACAAGATAAAGTATCAGTCTAATGGTGATGTGGATAGATACAAAGCTCGACTTGTTGCTGAAGGATATACTCAAAGAGAAGGACTTGACTATCATGACACTTTTTCTCCAGTTGCAAAGATGGTTACCATTAGAACTATTCTTAGCTTGGCAACTTCTTATGGTTGGGATTTATCTCAAGTGGATGTTAACAATGCTTTCTTACACGGTGATTTAATTGAAGACATATACATGGCACTTCCTCTAGGCTTCCAAGGACAGGGGGGATCTAAGGTCTGCAAGCTAAGGAAGTAACTTTATGGTCTTAAGCAGACTTTTAGACAATGGAATATTAAATTCACTAAAGCATTGTTGGAAGCAGGATACTCTCAAAGTGTTCATGATCATTCTCTTTTTATTAGAAAGGAAGGAACTGAAATGATTGTTATCTTAGTATATGTTGATGATCTTTTGATAACTGGAAATAGCTCCAGAATGGTTCAAGAAGCCAAAAACACATTACACAAAAATTTTAAAATGAAAGACTTGGGAAGCCTCAGATATTTTTTGGGGATTGAAATCTTGAAGTCCAAAGAAGGGTTGTTATTGAACCAAAGAAAGTATGCTTTACAACTAATCTCAGAGGCTGGATTGAGTGGAGCAAAGACTGTAAGCACTCCTTTAGAATTCAATCAAAAGTTGACTAGTGTAGAGTTTGATCAACACACTGGTGGATCTGATGATGCAGAGCTAGAAGATGTTACAGCATACCAAAGATTGATCGGTAAGTTGTTGTATTTGACAATTACCAGACCTGACATTTTTTTTAGTGTTCAAGTTTTGAGTCAATTCATGCAGCACCCTAAGGTTTCACATTGGGAGGCAGCATTAAGGGTAGTAATATATATAAAAAGATCCCCAGGACTTGGAGTAATGCTTAAAAGAGGTACCGGGGTTACAAAACTCACAGGATACTGTGACTCAGATTGGGCATCATGTCCAAACACAAGAAGATCCATAACTGGATACATGGTAAAGCTTGGAGATTCTCTTATTTCGTGGAAATCAAAGAAACAACAGACAGTAAGTAGGAGTTCAGCTGAAGCTGAGTACAGAAGTCTGGCAGCTCTTGTTGCTAAGCTGATCTGGTTAGCAGGCTTACTTAATGAATTACATTTTCGAGGTACTACTCCAATTTCAGTGTTCACAGACAGCAAATCAGCCATTCAAATAGCTGAAAATCCATTTTTTCATGAGCGTACGAAACACATCGATATTGATTGTCATTTCATTCGAGAAAAGGTAAAGTCAGGGTTCATTGACAATCAACATTTGTCCACTACCATGCAGCCTGCTGATATTTTGACAAAAGGACTAGGAGACAATCAACATCATCTCCTCATGACCAAACTTGGTGTGCTAGATGTCTTTCACCCTTTAGTTTGAGGGGGTGTATTGAAATATCGATATGATGATGTGTAGTTTTATGGTTGGTTAGTTCAAATATTAGTTGGAGTCACATGTGTTTGTTAGAATCACATGGTTGTCACACATTTTCCATTTTTCTGTTATGCTTTCCATTTTTGTGTTAGTGTTAGTTATAGTTAGTTGAGTAGTTAGTTTTGATTCTATATATATATAGATAATACATCATAGATGTAAACAAGATAAATCAATAAGAAAAAGGAAGACAGATTACTTTCAAATTCTCCCTGCAAAACTATCTGTACGTTTCTTCTTTCTTTCTTCTTCTTCTTCTTCTGTTCCTCTGTGTTTCTGTGTGGGTGTGAGTTCACAAATTTAATTGAAATAGTATATAACATGTGTTTAATTCATTAGAGAAGGTAAAATTACTGAAGAAAGTTATCAAATTTGGGATAAGCATTGCTAATTTGAATTTCTTAAAAAATTCATTTTTTGAAAAAAAATATTGTTATATAATTGAAAAGGCAAGTACTGCTATGTTGGTGTAAATACGGTTATTAAATTGTATACTTCAAAAATCTTCCCTCAACATTTTCGACCTAATCAAATTATAAATAGGAAAATAATTATGCAATGGGCTCATATTGTGGGCTAGAGATTGTGGCTGAAATTTATCGGTCAATCTGTGTTGAAAAATTTTATTTGTATTTAAATGAATTTCTAGATTGTGTAAAATATAAAATTTAATATTAGAAAAAGTAAAAAAAAAAAATTAAAAAATAAAGTGAACGTTACTAATGAAATGTAAAAAGATAATATTTAAATTAACTAATAAAAAATCCTAAAATTTTGATATATAAGAATAGTTCTTGATAAAGTTATTTATACTTCTTAAAAAATCTTTTTGAACTATTAAATAAATTAAACTTAAAAGTTACGAATTTTGAAATTGTTAGGACAACTCCATTAGACTCTCTTTGCTATAACCGAGTCACCAACAGGAGTAGCAACCGGAAAAGGTTCATCGAAGACATTGGGGAGTACATCAAATTTTATAGCCACTAAAGGAGTAATAAAAGATAAAATAGTACAAAGATTTGACAATGTATAAACATCAATAGAGAAAACTTGTAAATACCCGTAACAACATTTGGAAAGCTCTATTGATCACTTGGGGAATAGAGAGAATAAAAGTTGTTCATCTTGGGAGCTTTGGAATAAGAATCAACGAAGCTCGTGTTGATGATCCTTCATACCTAAATCTTCATCATGAGAAGATGTAGTGTAGGAAAAAGGACTCAGTATGTGGAATGTACGAGGATGTAAGGGGAATTCAAAAGCATAACATAAGCTTGAACTTGATAAAAACGGAATCATACTTACCTCAAACTTACTCAACTCAAGGAGTATTCAAGGATACTCAAAACTACTCACCTTCCTCAACTAAAAGGAACTCAAGGATAAGATACACAACTCAAAGATTAGATACTCCACTCATAGATTAGAAACTTAACTTTAAAGAAATGATTCTCTACTTAACGAAACATAGATTAAATCAATATACTAAACTTAAGATATTCAAGTCAAAA